TTTTTTTTTTTTTTTTTTTTCTTTTATTTCTATCTTATTTTTGTTCTTCTTTTTACTCGTATTTATTATTTTTGTTTTTAGTGTTCCTTATTCTTAATATAAGAATAAGGAGTGTACATGTAGCCATAGATTATATGATTTTTGTGATACATACCCCCGTCTCTTAACGTGGATGCTAGAGTTCCTTTAGGAAGAATTTTCATGTGTAGTGGCTATACAGGATTACATTCCATACGTAGACATTGTACGTAATGCACTTGTGCAACATATGTAGACGGGTACGCGCATTCTGCCAGGACTGATCTTTTCTATGTTGTTATGCTGCGACCACAATGGAGGCTGATTTAGCGAAAATATTGAGAGAGTATGCGTTGGATAGGAAACTAACGGAGCATACTGAGGATTTTCAGGTAATTTCCTATACATACAGGCCGCGTGCGGCGGTGTGCACCAGGCCGCATATATGTGTGTATAAGCGCAGCATACTAAAGCGTAGCAGCATGTCGAACATGTGCGTGCTTCATATGTGCACCATACGGCACATTTACATGTAACAGGCAGCAAGGGACAAATATAATTAGATGATTGCACAGGTTGGTGAATAATACTGTGCGACCACATAGCTATATGTGCATTGTGTTCACCGCAGAGTAAGTTATGGCACGATATGCAAACACAAATGCAGATTTTTATTACGGATATGAACGATCCAAATGCAGAGGAACATGCTGCTAACTGCGGTAATGCATACTGGGAACATCCACTAGAGCACGGGATGACAGACCAACCACAAAGGAAGATGGATCGGAGCAAAGAACGAGTTATATGCAGACTCATGACGCAAGCGATATACTTTGCAAATGCATGGACTGACGCAGCACGGACAAACGCAGAGGAGAACGAGGGGAAGGATAAGGAAATAAAGGGAATAATGAGATGCACCATAGCGGATATATACCAAGATATACTGAGGGAAGACTCGTGCGAGGGTCACTGGGGCACATATTACGCATGGTGGGTGGTGGACCACATGTGGCCATCAATGAGCGACATGTGGGGCCAGCAGCATTGTAAGCGCGGTATGTACAAGCAGATAGATTTGAAGACTTGGAACACGAGGAATAAGATGAAGGACTGGCTGAAGCAGAATGAACAGATGAAGAAGAAACTTGAGCACGAACAAATAAGCGGGGAGTGTAAGGGAGCACAGGTAAAGCTAGCGGTCGGGAAGACACAGGAGGAAAAAGACAAGAAAGAAGACAAACAAACGAAAGATGAAGTAACGAAGAAGGTTACAGGAATTTTGAAAGAACTGCAGCAGGAAATGAAGCAGGAGGAGCAACGATTAAGGCCGTCCGGTGCGTCAGCACCCACGTACCCTTCTGGGGCAGAGGCAGACGATAAAAGGCATGAAGAAATCGAGGGGGTAATGAACCAAGCCATCGAGCAAGTGAAAGCGCAATTAAACGCAGTGATCGTTCATCCCGCCTCCGCCAAACCCGCCCCTACCAAACCCGCCCCGGCCCAGCCGGCAACCACAAAACCGGCAGATGCAGCAGGAGGAGACCAGGAAGCGGCGAAGCCCTCGGCACCATCACCAGAAGGCACATCAGGAAAAGGGAGTACAGGGGGAAGTCCGTCACAAGGAGCACGAAACACAGACGTAGGAAGAACACATCCATCGGGAGCAGAAGACCCGGTAGGGAAACCGCCGGGGTCCGCGGCACCAGGAGCGCAACCGCAAGCACCGGCATCCCCAGTATTACCAGCACCTGCAGCAGGGGACACGGCATCCACGGGACAAGGACCGGGTCAAGGCCCAGGACCTGGACAACAACCCCCACCTCCACCACCACCACAGGCAGGATCAAAGAATGCAGGTAAGAAGTCTAAGACAACATGTGAGAAAGTTGTGAAGAAGCAAGAAAGCAGGAGCATAGACAAGGACGGTAATCAGGCAAGTGTGGAAATTTCTTTCTTAACACCACCCTCCACACCTGAATGCACGGACCCGCACAAAGACGTGGATGTCACAGGTAATGTGCACCACGGGGTCCACATCCCATTGTCGGTACCCTGAGTATACCAGTGGGCGAGAAGGAAAAAAAAAAAAAACAAAAACAACAAAAAATGAAACAACAACTTTTCCGCAGACACAGAGGGAGAGACACCACGCAGAGAGCGAGAACAACCACACGTAGAATGAGAATGAGACGGGGACAGTGAGCGGCCGAGCCACGGGGCGCAGAGACCGCCGTGGGATGTAGACGTCGACGTAGACGTAGACACATGTCGACACAGACAAACACAGACACACACTGTGTGTTGTGTTGTGGGAGACAGAGAGAGAGTCTTTTCCCGGGGTGGCACCAGCGACCCACCGTTCGCAACATGGCCAACCACAATCGACGGATCATGTGGACAACCAACCATGTGCCACCACCGCTGCATAAGTTCAGTTTCATCACATCCTTCTTCCTTCCCTTTCCCTGTCTCCCCATTCACCAAATGTTCAGGCGATGCCGTGCCCGATGGAGGCAGTAGCGTCAACGATGACCCCCCTCCTCTCAATCCACCCAAACCTAAACCCAACCCGAACCCAAATCAATCGGGTGCAAGCGGTAGCGGCGGCACCGGCGGGGGAAGTGTAGC